CCAGCCACAGCTGGGGCCCAGCCTGGAAATCAATTCATGATGGCACACGTGACAGAGGCTGGGTGATAAAACCACCTCTCTCAAGAAAGGGGAAGAGGGCACGTCCTCCCATTCCCACCCTGCAGCCCAGAACGTTCTGAGGCCCCGCTCTTGCCTGGGACTTGCAGGCAGGCCCAGGCGCTCAGCACATACCTCTGGAGACGGGCATGGTCCGCGTGTCCCCGGAGGTGACGCGGCCCTCCATCACCTGTTTGTACAGCAGGACTCCCTGGGTGAGGAGGTCGTTCGCCTGCAGAATCTCCGCTGGAGGACGAGAGGAGACAGAGGCCCTGGGTTTGGTGAGCGAGCAGCTCCATCTTCGTGCGTCACTCCGCAGAGCGGCTGCCACGTGGCTCTCCGCCAGCTCACGCACCAGACCCTGACAGGCCCAGGCACTCGGCCCCTGGACCCCGACACTCTCCGGGCTCCGGCTAAAGGAGGACTCGAATGTTTTCACCGTCCCCGTATGCATTGCGTGGCACAACGCTGACGCTGGAAATGTGTCTCCTTCGGCTGAGAAACGACGGCCTTATTTTAATTAATCTAAAACTGAACCGGAAGCTGCTTTGTCACGTGATGCGAGTACTGTCTACCTGCCCGCTGTACGCTTCATGAGTTCTGAACACAGGCCAAGCGGTCCCGACGAGGACCTGACACCTAAATCGAGACGCCCCGAAAGCATAACACACGCCTTGGACTTCAAAGACTTTACGAGCCTCGCACGGTCTGCTTTACCCCAAAACACCTCTCGCACGGGACAGAGAAGCGACAGGGCTGGGGGCTCCATGGGCCAAAAGCTAGAAGGTCACTTCTCAAGAATGACCAACTATCAGTTCCTGCCAACTTTTTTAACTGGACAGAGGCTGCAAACTGACATCATGCGGTTCCAGTCACCTGGCAAAATGTTTTATCTGGCATGACGGGTTGCTGAAGAATTGGAATCTGATTACCTCCGACTTCATGGCAATCAGAGAGAACACTGAGGGTTTAGACGATGACCACGCCTCAGAAAACAGAGCAGCAGACACCACGGGCCTTTTGAACACCACCTGCGAAGGATTCTTGGCTCCCCCACAACTGAACCCGAATCTGATCATTTATAAGAAACGTCAGGAACGTATAAGAAATATGAGAAACAGAGACAGGCTGAACGCCACAGGGGACGCATCAGAAAACAAGAGAAACACCATGAGCCGAAGGCCGCGTTCCTCACGCAAGAACGAGCAGAGAGGGAGGCTGGCGTCGCCCGCTGAGGGCTTGAGAACGTCAGCCGAGCGCGGCTTTTCTTTCTGAGTGACTCAGAACAAGCTGCTAAGAACTGAGGGGAGATCAGATACGCCAGGCCCTGAGTGACGGCTAGAGAGACGGCTAGAGACAGGTACACCAGGCCCTGAGCACTGGCTGATGCGTGTCTTTGAAATGTTCGGCATTTGCTTCGAAACAGACTGAATGATCAGACGACTGGCCTAAGCAGGTCGCTGGCGATGGTGACGGCCCGTAGGATGCCTACACAGGATGACTACGCAGGTGACTCTGCGACCCATCTTTCTTAGGCGTTCGGAGATTTTCCACGTGAAAGTTGAAGAGGCGTTAGTGCCGTGCGCAGGTGTTGGGTAGAATGGCCCGCTGTCCCCTCCAGGTCGTCAGCCCGCCCCCTTAGGGCGACTGCCCCGTGCCCACAGGTGCGGGGCCCTCCGAGATGACCACGCGCAGCTGCTTCCGGCCCCCGTTGGACAGTCGTCCTTTCCTGGGGCCTTGGGTGGAGTCTGCCCCCTCTGCCTCCCTCCCGCCCGGTCCACATGGGAGATCTCCACCCCGCTAGGCCTCAGACCTGCTGCTGAGTTCTTGCCCAGTCTAGATTCTTTTGGAAATCAGTTTCAAGTCAACTTGGGCCACGCACTTCCCCAGCCGGACACCATAAAACGCGACGCCGCGCTGCCTGGTTCCCGACCCCGCAGCTGGGGCTGCGCCCTGGGCGCTGCCTGTGCCGCCCGCGCCGAGCAGGATGTGTTACCGAGTGCGTCGTCATCGTCGGTGGTGTCGCTCGCCAGCCGGAAGAGGATGGGCCGCAGCTTCTCACAGCGCGCGTACACGACCTGCAAAACGGGCTCGGTGTTGGCCCTCGCGCCCGGCCCGGCCCTGGGCGCCCAGGTCTCCCTCGCCAGCCCCACGCTCAGGACTGTGGGTTTCAAGTCACACACAGCTGCCACTCAGAAACGGTCAGGGTGACAGCTAACTGCGTGGTTTTTAGCCAACAGGTGAAAGGCACCCAGGCCTCCGCTCAGAGATGGCCCCGCGTCTCGGCATGTGGCGAGCGTGCTCCCCCTCGACACCCCGCCCCCCAAACAACTTCAGCGATGAGACCCCCCGCCGAGTGCTGTTGGTGCCAGGGCCCCCTTTATGATACTCCCATGACCCCGCTGGCTCTCCAGAACCACCCCCAACGCCTGGCAAGGCTCCCCCACCCTGGAGCGCACTGTGGGGGAGGGCGTGCAGCCTCGGCACCTCAGGCTTCCTGCCCCCAAGTGAGTCCAGCAACTCCCTCACACTCTGGGCCCCAACCGTGTCCCCGCCCAGGGCTGGAGAGGTGGCCCGTGCAGCCCGTGAGAATGGGAGGAGGCAGGAAGGCCCTCCTTCCGCCCGCCCGGCCCTCAAGCACGCCCTGCCACGGTGGCTCTGCCCCTCCTGCTGTGCCGCTTGCAGAAGGAACCCTGGTGGGAGGGCGTGGTGGACAGCACCATCGCAGGTGGACAGCGAGCCGGCCTGACTCGGGTTTGGCTTCAGGCAGCCACTCGCAACGGTGACGCGCCGCGTCTCCCAGCGTCGGCTTTACCCGTCACGGATTCCGTTTCCTGCCTCGCAGCTCCTTACCGTCTGGGCTGAGCCGTTCTGAAGCCCACCACGCCGACCTCCCTGAGCTCTGTTGCAGCCTCACCGCAAGAGACCAGCTTTGCAGTGTCTGCCCAGCCCAAGGCCACCGACCACCCTGAGCACAGTCCCCTCCATCCACAGGGAACGGCCAGCACAGTCTCCTCTAAAGCTCTGCACGATGGCAGTCATCACTGCCTGGCCAGGTAGGTCCACGAGCCCTGCTGGCCAAACGGGGCTTTCCCCCAGGAGGGTGGAACCGGGAAGGGCTACCGGTTTGGCTCTGCCCCGTGACACAGAAGTGGACTGTGAGGCGCGGCTCTCCAGCGCAGCAGCGGGGAAAGCCGGCACAGCGCGGAGGACAGAGGCGGCCTGCAGAGGGAGGCAGAGAGCTGAGCCTAGGGGACCCGCGGGGGCCTCAGACGCGCGTCCGCGTCACCGCCACCTGCCTGCGCCAGGCGGCGCCCCTCAGCTGGGACAGCAAAGCATCAGCGGAACAGAAAACGACAAACTGAACTTCAGAACTAAAGCTGCTGCTGCAAAACGCACAGTCAAAACAGTGAAAATGCAGCCCATGTAATGGGGGGAAACATAAGGGATTTGTACCCAGGATAAAGGACTCTGCTGACTCAAAAGTAGAGAAACGACCCAGCTCAAAAATGGGCAAACGACACGAACAGATGCCTCTCCGAAGATGACACGTGTGGCCAACAGACGTGAAGGAAAGCTGCCCGTGAGCCCCGGAGACACACGAGGCAGAACCACGGTGGGAAGGCGGCTGTTAACGGGACCAGCGCTCACAGCAGCGGGCGGGGTGCGAAACGCGGACCCCCACGCACGGCCCGAGGGACTGAAAATGGCGCAGCGATCGGGCAGACAGCGGCGCTTGTTCAGATGAGCAGTTACCACACCATGCACCCCTGGGGTTCACCGGGAAGGATCCAAGCTCATTCCCACAAACAGCTGGCACACGAATGTCCCTGACCTGACGTCACCCACAATGACCTGAGTGACGGAGGACGCGCTGAGATGTGGCGCAGCCACACAGCGCTGTCACTCAGCCACAGAAAGGAACGAAGCACACACGCCGCAAGGGACGCGGAGACCGCGGGCGGGGCAGGGAGCGGGCTCCACTCACGCGCCACGTCCAAGCGGGCGAGTCCACAGAGGAAACAGAGCAGCGGTCATCTGGGGGGTGGAGGGGGACGGCTAACGGGCACGGGGTTTCTTTGGGGGGTGATTCAGGTATTCCAGTTACATCGTGTGATGGCTGCTTAACGTTATGTGAATTCTCAACAAAGATGCTATTTAAAAACAGATCTCGAGACGTAGTTAACTGGACACTCAGCGCATGACTAGCGATCCCACACCTGAGCATCTACCCCAGAGAAGGGAAGATGTGCGTTCACACAAAACTCTGTACACCACTGGCCACAGCAGCTGAGCTCACGATCGCCCAAAGCTGTGAACAGCCCAGGGCCCCGTCGCCGGGTGAGTGCGGGCACACGGTGGTGCACGCGAGCGTGGACACCACTGGGCGTGGAAGAGGAACAGACTCTGGGTACAGACTCAAGGGGTCTCAAAAATTAAGCCGGCATGGTGTGGGGGAGCCAGACCCCAAAGGGCACGAGCTGCCACGGCCCACTGACACGAGTCTAGGAAATACAGAGGAACGAGAACGCGCAATCCGACGGCTGCCTGGGGCCGGGGGGAGCGGGAGCGAGGGATGCCAGGACACCTGGGGACACCTGGGGCGAGGGACCCGTGTACTGTCTTGATCGTGATGACGGCCGTGAGGACGGACACATGTCGAAACCCATGACCTCGCCTCCTGCGTGTGGCTACCTGCAGGGCCCCCTGGTCGGGCGGGGCCGGCCCCGGCCCGCGGTGGGCGCCCAGCATCTCCCGCAGCGCCGCCACGTGGCTGCGCACCTCCTCCACGGCGCTGGCTCTCCTGGACGCCTTCTCCGACCTCTCCTGCTCCTGTTGGGGAAGAGGATGGACGTGAGGGGGCGGAAGCCCTGGAGAAAGCCCGCGCTGGGGACGGCAGGGGCACAGTGTCCGCTCAGTGGGTGAAGACAGTGCGCAGGGCCCGGCTTCCCAGGGGAGACCGTGCCGCTGGGGACGGGCGACCTCCTCCTCTGTCTCTCCCGCCTCGATCCTTGAGAAACAGTTCCCACACCCGGACTCTGTCGCACAATGCCTGTCACCGGGACAGAAGTGTCTGAAACGCGCTGAGCGCCAGACACAGGTGCTGGGAAGCACGCACCGCGGCTCAGCTCCTGCTCCCAGGCACCGCCTGCCACGCTTGGGAGCCCCTGTCTCAGCTCAGGGCCAGGAGGCCGCGCCTGCTCCCAGCCCGGCACACGTGCACGTGTGCACACACACACACACGCGCGCGCACACTGCCCGGCCTCACATGCCGGCCTGCGGGACGCGGGGGACGCCCACCTCCTTGACCAGACTCTTGATCAGCCGGTTCGCGGCCTGCAGGTCCTCGGGATGGCTGCTCTTCAGAAGCCTCGTCAGGAGCTGCAGTATGAACAGAGCAGGTGGCACTGAGCCGTCCGTGTCGATGCCAGAGGCAGCGTCAGCAAGAGGAGCCAACACCTTCCACACGCGGCATCTGACCGAAGAACCCTCACAGCGGGACGGGGCTGCGAGCATCACGACTATCCCCACAGACCCGTGCTCGGTGGGCACGGGGGGCGAGGGGAGACTGCATCCCCCAGGGACACCTGGCCAAGTCTGGAGACATTTCAGTTGGCACACCTGGGGATGCTACTGGCATCTAGTGAGTAGAGACCAGGGGTGCTGGAGACACGCGAGTGAACTCTCCGGCCCCAATGTCACAGTGCCAAGGCTGTCCCACACTGTGGGCTCTACGATTCGAAAGGCCTTGGGGACCCTGTTCCCTTACCCCTGGCGCCCAACAGAAGGCCTGGCACCCAGAGCTCCTCCGCTCTGTTGGACAGGTGGGGACTCCGAGCCCCAGGGAGTGGAAGCAGCTGTGCACAGCGACTCGGGACTTTGCTCCTCCCTGTTCCTCCCCCCTGTCACTGAGGCCACAGCAAGAGGAGCCAGAGAGCACAGCAGCCAGGACACAGCACGGCCCTGCTCAGCGGCCTGCGGGGACTGCGTGGCCACAGAGCATCTGGTCCCGAAGGCGGGCCACGGGTGAGAGGCACGGCTGCAAGGGGGACCCAAGGACACCCGCAGCCTGGAGCTTTCACGGGCCTGCACGCTCCAGACCTGGTGAGCGGCTGAGATCTGTGCCCTGCCCACCGGTGCCCTCGGGCGCCTTCCCACTTGAGGCTCCCAGGATCCAGGCCTCCACCCCACACCGGTGTCTGAAGGGCAGCTATTCTGAGGAGCGGCAGGTGGGCTCAGGCTCGCTGGCGCTGGAGGCGACCCAAGCCAACACACGCCCACCGCCCCCCACCCTGTGGTGCCCACAGCACACGGCTGACACCGCACTGCCCGCCCGGGTCACCCCGCGTGCCCTCCTCCCACAGGGGCACCGTGCAGACGAGGTGCAGACACAGAGAACGTGGCATATAACCTGGCCCACCCACGAAGACGACGGCCCGAGCTGGTGCCACCTCGCTCCTGAGAACCTGCTCCAGAGAGCTCACTGGGCCCTCCTCTGTCCTCCCATGCTGTGGCCCGGGGCCAGAGGCCCGACGAGAAGAGCTGTGGTCAGACTCCGGGCCGGCCCCGAGGCCCGGGAGGAGGTCCTCACCTTCGACTTTTCTTCGTCGGCATCGAAGATGGAGCTCCTGGGCCAGGGAGAGGGCGGGGGCAGGATCTTGTCTGCTGGCAGCTTAGGGTCTTGCTTTATGATCCCTAAAACGTGAAGTTCGGGGAGTTAAGAACCCACACGGGACCCACCGCCTCCTGCGGGGCAAACACCGCTGATGACCTGAAGGGGGCAGGCCCCAGACCCGCCCACGGCCCCACGTCCTCCCTCGCAGAGTCCACGGAACCAGCACACAGACGGGGACGTCACAGCGACTGAGTAAGGGCAGAGCCGCAGTCACGGCCAGTGGTCTGTGGCCATAAACGCACTGACCACTCAACGCTGGCGTGTGACCTCCCAGGGCCCAGATTCTTGCGGGACCCCAGCACCCGGGAAGCAGCCGTGGCAGTGCACGTGACAGGGGAATCGGTCTGCCACAAGGCCAGCTCCTTCCTCCGCAGGGCCCAAGACAAGGGGCGCGTGACCCCGGCTCCCACGCAGAAAGGCGCGCTGCGCCCTCCGACCCTGACAGGATGCTGGGCAGCAACGGCTCTTCTGAAACCCCGCAGGGGGCCGCGGTCTCAGGGCGACAAGCGAGCAACCTGGAGTCCAAGAAAGGACGTGCCTCGGAGGAGAGGGAGAGGTGCCACCACCACGGGTGGCTCAGCCCACGTTTCAAAACCCGCTTCCGGGCCGGGGTGGGGCCTCTGGGCAGAGGTGGCAAAGGCACTGGGGCTCACGGAGGCTGCTCCCTCTCCAGACCGAAAGTCTGAAACTGCTGGGGGCCAGCACCCGGGAGCCCTCGGAGCAGCCCTGACACCCCACTGCAGCAGGAAGGCAGAACGGAGAGACGGTGCCGTGGGCGGGGTGGGGCGGGATGACGGGTGGCCCTGCCAGGACCAGGGACCAGGTGCCTGCCTCAGATGAGGCTCAGGAGAGCTGTGAAGACGCTGCCAGCCCTGGGCTGGCCAGTCAAGGACTGGGCGATGATGGCCACGAGGGCAGAGACAACGCCTGATGGACGGCAGCATGGTGGCCCGCGGCCGAGACCGGGCGCAGTGAGGGCCGCCCAGCCGCACCACGCGGCCCCGGCTCGGCTCTGCCCGCCGCGAGGCAAGGCCTGCCCTTCCCGGTCGCCTCGCGCCTCAGTCTCCGCTGACCAATGAGGTGCCCAGCGTTGGACACACAAAACCGCGAAGGAACCAGGACCGCGAAGGGAGGCGTGGGCGGCACCTTGCTTCCTCAGCATCTGGTAGGCGTCGCGGATCTTGATGTCCTCTGGGAACCAGACTGTCCAGCTGAACAGCACTTCAATGACTCTCCCTTTCACCTTGTCCGTGGTCCAGGACCCCAGGTACTGAAGAGGGGAGTGACAACTACTGCAGTGGCGGGGGCTGCACAGAGGACAGGCCGCACCGCGTGGGGGAGGGGGCCTGTCTGTGTGTCCTGTGCTCCTCCAGAGGGGTTCCAACTGTCAGCCTCATCCCGACCCCAGGACGGGAGGGAGCTACAGAGAGTCCCAGACCACGGCTGAGGCTCGAATCGGCCGTGCCTACGCCACTCCGTCTGAGGCTGCGGAGCAAGGAGCAGGCAGGCCCCTGCTTGACACATGGCTGTGCCGGGAGGCTGCCGCCCGGGCCTGGCGCCACGGCGGAGGGCACGGAGGCCTGCGCCTGCCCCCTCCCCTGCCGCCTGTATCCTTTACGGTGAAAGGTGAGTGTAGTGCTGTCCTGTGTTCTGGTCTCTCCAGTAATGATGGAACCAGGGAGGGGGTCCCAGGACCCCTAACTTTGGAGTTGGTCAGGCAGAGAGCAGTGACTTGGGGACCCCCGAGACTCGCAGCTATGTCTAAAGCCGGAGTGGTCTGGGAAGGTTGAGCCCTCCCTGAGCAGGGTCTGCACTGGCTGGGCGGCTGGCGCCAGGATGGACTGCATTCCGCTGGAGGACATGCAGCGTACGCGGGGGGCGGTCACCCGAGAAGGTGCAGGACAGAGTGCAGAGGACAAGGCCAGAAGTGCGTGAACTTCAAGCCACACCTGGTGCCTGTGCCATCTCTCCCAGGACACTGGTCTCCCAGCTAGAGCCCCTTGTCGCCCACCC